GCCCCTGGCTTCGTCTCACGGGGGCGGCCCTCCCTCTGGAAGGGTTCCCGCCGCCCGCCAGCCGCCACCTGCCGCCCGCCGTCGCCGCCTGCCGCCCGCCATCTCGGCTGCAGAGAGCGGACCGGGCCCTCGCGCAGCCGGTGAAAATCGCGCTCTCGAGGGCTCGGATGACCTTCGTGGACGCGCGGAGGCCGACGGCGTCGTGCAGGAGGCAAGGCGCCCGCCGCGCCCCTTGCCCGCGAGGCCCAGAGGCCTGGGGCCTCGGAGGTGGGATCGGGGGCGGAAAAGAGGGGGGTGATGACTAGGGGGGGGTGGATATCATGGCGGGGGGCATGATATTTCCTCAGATTTCATGGCGCCTCTTCTTATTTCATTACGTCCCTGGCCCCCCCGCTGGGCCGCGCACATGCCGCCGGTCATGATTTGAACCCCCCCCTCTTGGACACCCCCCTTTTGGCCGCTCCCGATGGGAAAGGCACCCCCTTACACCGCTGTCCCTGCGGTCGGCCCGAGGTCGAGGGTCGACCGAGGTCGGCTCTGGGAGGGCAGCTGCCTGGCCCCTTGCCGTCGGAGGGTGCCCATCGGAGGAGGAAGAGTCGGAGGGTGGACAGAGCCCCCAACAGTGACACGTCGATTAGTGCATTGTCCGTTTTCGGTTCTCGAGAGGGCGCCGTGGCCGTTATTTTCCAGGCTTGCGCCCGCCAGGTTTGGGCCTCGGGTCGTTTTCACTGAACCACGTTTTACTAAAGGGGGGTCTGTCCATCCCCGAAAGAGGTGCCCTCGGAGGAGGAAAAGGTACCCTCGGAGGAGGAGGAGGAGGAAGAGATGCGCTTACGGCCGGCCCTGGGTGTAAAGGATCGAAGTCGGTTCGGGGAGGGCGCCCTATAGTGTCATTCGTGTTTTTGTTCGAGGCTGTGGTGCCTCCTGTGGAGGGCTCCTTCGAGTGATCTTACGGTTTAGGGTGTCGGTTCGGGGAGGGCGACTTAGTGTCATTCGTGTTTGTTCGATGTTGTTGTGCTTCCTGGTGGAGGGCTCCTTCGAGTGATCTTACGGTTTAGGGTGTCTCCGCCGGCGGAGGGTCCCATGTTTTTGAAGGATGTTCTCGTGGTGGTTCGCGTGGTGTCGGCAGGTTCGCGTGGTGTCGGCCGGTGGCGACCCCAGCGCGGGCGTGTAAGGTGGAATGCCGCCATGGAATCCGGCGTTTCGGACACGGCCGTTCGTTCAAGGCTGATTCCCGCGGTGTCAGGAACCAACGCCAGGGTCGACACGACACGAACCTACCCCTGTGTGTTCTCCTTTTTGGGCCCGCTGGGAGGCCCCCGTCACCACCGCTGGATTCGCCTCGAAACCCTGGTCAGAACGCACCCCTGGAGAGGTCCGGGTAGAGGTGTGGATACCTTCTGGTCCCCCCAGGGACTCCTCATCCCTCCGATCTCCGGACCTCTTCTGGGGTGCATCCTGGCTACCGTTTCGGGGCGGCTCGCGTTGTGGTCTGCGGCCACACTAGCGCCCCCCGACGAGGCCCCAGAGGGCCCGAGAAAGTGCGCAAGCCGTGAACCCTCTCGATCCTCGATCCGTCTCGTCGTGGTCGTCCCCCAGCTGGGTCCGACGAGCAGGACGATTGGGGGGGGGGCGGGGCGGCGCCCCGCCCACCTCCCTGAGGGGCTCGGCCCTCCGCTCGACCGCGCGGGCCACGGCCCGCTGCCCCCGCAGGCCCTCGCCCTGCGTTCGCTGTCGCCGCCGTCGTCGTGGTCGTCAGTGGTCGTCAGTGGTCAGTGGTCGTCGTCCTCGCCGTGGTCGTTGCCGTGGTCGTCGCCGTGGTCGTGGTCGTCGGTGTCGTCGTTGTGGTCGCCACGGCCATCGCCGCCGTGGTCGTCGTGGTTTGCCGTCGCCGTCGCCGTCGTGGTCGTCGTGATTTGCTGTCGCCGTCGTCGCCGCCGTCGCCGCCGTCGTCGCCGTCATCGCCATGGTCGCCTCGCCGTAGTCGCCGTGGCTGAGGTCGTCGTCGTCGCCGTCGTGGTTGTCGCATTCGCCGTCGCCGTCGTCGTCTTCGTCGCCTCCCTCGTCGTCGGCTCGTGATCATCGTCGTCGCCGTGGTCGTCGTGGTCGTCGTCGTTTTCGTCGTCGCCGTGATTGTCGTCGTGGTCGCCGTCTCAATAATTAGTGGTCGTCTCCGTCGTCGTTGCCGTGGTCGTCGCCGTCGTAGTCGACGGGTTCGCCGTTGCACTCGTCGTCGTCGTCGTCAGTGCTGCTGTCGGTCATCGCAGTCGTCGGCTCTTCGTCGTGCGTCGTGATGGTTGTCGTCGTCGTGGTAGACTCCTTCGTCGTGGTAGTAGTGGTCGTCGTTGTTGATGTCGTCGTCGTCGTCGTCGTCGTCGTCGTCGTCGTCGTTGTTTTTCGTGCTCTTGGGGATCGCCGTCGCCGCCGCCGCCTTCGGCTCGTTGTCGCAACCGTCGTCCTTGTGGTTGTCATCGTCGTCGCCGAAGGCCGTGTCGAACTTGCTCTGGCGGGAGTGGCCCTCGAGCCCTCCTCTTATACTTCAAGACACCGAAACACAAGTAATGCTTGCTAGCGTTGACCCCAAAGAGTACGTTGTTGCCCTCTGGATGTGTCTGGTGAACTATGTGGTACAATAGATGTGGTGCAATATGTGTGCCGTGCGCCATGCGCTGCATTTTATGTGGTAAAAAGTATAAGTTGTAAACTATGCCGTGCAAGCTTTGAGGCGTAACATATGTGGTGCCAGCTTTGCGGTGAGAGCTATGCGGGGCATACTTTGCAACGTGATAAGTTTCAGAGAATATGAGGGTGCAGGCTATGTCGTGCAAGCTGTGTGGTGGAACCTATTCGGTGTAAGCTATGCGTTGTCAGCCTTGTTGTGCATTATATGTGGTGGAGCTACGTGATGTAAGCTATGCGGTGCAAGCTCGCTTATGGAAGCTATGTGGTTCAAGCACATGAGTTGTCAACTCTTCTACACGCGCAATCATCCCACCCTCCCGTCCGCAATTTGTGCGGCAATACACATGCCTCCAAGATTGCGGTTGCCGATTGGCACTTGCCAGCGCATCTGTGTAGCCGCGTTAGTGCGCGAACGCCTGCGCTCAGGGCGACCAGCTCGTTTGGCACAACTGTTGTGGCCGCGATTGCATTTACCGCTGGGGACTTCCAGCGCGTCTCGCAGGCCGCGCTGGCGCGCGGACACTTCAGTGTGGGTCGGTATTTGTGTGGGCGCGGTATCCTGATGGCGTCGACAACGGCGGCAACGATGATGATAGCAGCGATGGTGTTGGCGATAATGAAGATGACGACGGCGAGGGTAATGACGGCGCCGACGTTGGCGACCACGATGACGATGATGTCCATGTGTCTGTAATGAAGGTGATTGTGCAGATGATGGCGGCAATGACGGCAATAGGACGATGACGGTGACGGCGGTGGTGCGATGGCGCTGATGGTGGTGATGGTGAGGAAGTGCGTGCGCAGAACTTCAAGACACTTGGCGTAATATTCTTGAAAGACCGTGGCCGTCACATGTATTGAAGAGCTCACTTTCGAAGTGCTTCGAAAGCCAGCGATGCATGTGGTATAAGCTCAGCGGTCTAAGCTATGTGGAGCCGGCTTCGCGGCGCAAGCCCGAGCTTTCTGATGGAAACGTGGGTGCAAGCTATATCGTGTAAGCTACGTGGTGCGAACTGCGTGGTGCCTATGCGGTGTAAGCCCTGTAGACAGATGATATGCGCCCACGCGGAGCTCACGACCGACTACCGGCGGATGGTGAAACCTCGGCACACCGATCCAGCCCACGAGGCGCCTGCGAGGCGCCCCTGGGCGGCAACGGGCGGCAGAGTGGCGAACCCCCAGTGCACCCGGCCAATTCCTTGAGCAACACGAGCAAGAGCCCCAGGGCTCTCTTTGACGACCTGCCTGCGTGTTAGCAATTTGGACTTTAGCCTCGGGGGCCATGTTCGGGCTCCGAGATCACCGTCCACATCACCAAGCACATGGTGGTCACGATGAGAAATCGCATCATTCCAATCTGGCTGACCGTTGGTGGTCGCGGTTGCGGTTCCGGTGTCGGCGGCGCTGGGCGTGTTGGTGATCGAGCTTCGGGCAATTACGCGCAAAACAAAGCACAGTCGCACCCGCTGATGCATGCTGATCGCATCAGCACGCTCCACAGCCCGAGAGGCCGAAATTTACATAGATTTGGCGCGGGGGGTCCTGAGAGGTCTCTGCGATAAGGGAAAGGGCTTGGTAAAGACCGCTCCCCGACGGGCTTCTGGGTTCAGCTTAGTAAGGACGATTCAGTGTTGCCGATTCTTTGGCACATCGCGCCTTCTGTTAGGACTGGAAAGACTAGCTAGAGAGGTGGTCATACAGTGATGGAGGAGGAGGAGTGGGGAAGAAGGGGACGGAAAGAGGAGGAGGGAGGAGGAGGAGGAGGAGGAGGAGGAGGATCGAGAGTGGATGCTTTTGGACTCTTCTGGCCTCTGGAGGCCTCTGGAGGAGGAGGAGATTTTCCTTTCCCCACCCGTCCGCAGACGGGATGGGCGGGGGCAGGGGAGCGGGGGAGGAGCGCTTCACCACGACGGTCTCTCGACTACCATCTGGCCGAGAGTCAGGCGATCGCACACATGGATCAAGGGGGCGTGGATTAGCGACGGGTGCGGTTTCCACGGTCCGCCGCCGAGCGAGGCGGCACGGGCCGCATTTTGGGGAGTGCACCTCCCCCGATCCATGGATTTGGCGACCGCGCGCCTAATCCATGGATTGCTAATCCATGCTTGCGCGCCCCCGACACCTGGACCGTGGCAAAATGTGGCAGCCGCCTGGCTGCATGCAAGGGCTGACAGGCAGAAGGAGTGAGCCTTCCAGGGGCTCCCTCGTCGCTGCAGATGGGCCTGGTTCAGATGACCGGCCAGGATGACGTCCAGGGGGAGAGTGCCAGAGATGCTGTTTGAACACGCTGTGACCATGGAGCGGGAGGAGCGCATCTCAGCCACTCGGCTCGAGCCCTGCGCCAGCGGCTCGGTGGGCGGACCGCGCCGCTCTGGGCCCCGCCTGTACTTTTCCTCTCGGCGTTTTTTTTCCGCCCCCTCTGGGTCTCGGGGTGGGGTTCGGAGCGCTTTTCACGAGGCCGACGCCACCGACACCAGGGCGCCCGCCTGGTTTCGCTTGCGACCCGCGCAGGCCCGAGAACGATGACGGGCCCGCAGGCGCCAACGACGGCCCAACTGGTCTGGCGCCAAGTAGGGGTGTTGGAGACGGAAGTGAGGGAGAGGCGGGGAGGGGAATAAGGGTGGGGGCTGGGAACTAGGGGGTGGGTGACAAGAAATGGGGGGTGTGGAGAAGGAAAGTGAGGGGCAGGGGGGGTGGGGAGATGAGGGGCAGGGTGCCCGACATGCGACCAACCCAGCGAGAACATGAGGGATGGGGGGTCGGGAGATGAGGGGTGGGGGGCCCGAAATGCGACCATCACAGCGACAAACAGATCATATCCAGCGTCCGTGTGACACTGGCGCACTTCCAGGGTACAATAACTTCCTCGCTTCCAGGGGTGGATATTGAATCTGCTTGCCCTGTCCTTTTTTCTCGCTGGTATGACTTTTTTGTTTGTTGTTGAGCTTTTCGTGGTCGTCGACTGGGAGCCCGCGCCGTGGCCACGCTTGCGAGTGCTTTCGGTTTCGAGTTGGAGCGGCGCGACGGTATCCTTCAGCGTCCGCCCGCGGGGGAGGCTGTTGACCGCGGGGAGGTCGCCCAGAACTTGCTGTGGGCACTGCTGTGCGACTGAAGGCTGGGATACTGGTGCGTTTCATGCACGGCTAGCCGGCAGATGCTGCGCAGACGCCGAAACGGGGGGGCGAAACGGCGTCGAGGGGAAACAGACCGCGTGCCCCGCTCGGCTTCCACTGTGGGGCGGAGGCGGCGCGCGCGCGTGCGGGGGGTCGCGGCGGTTCGCATGGCGCTCGTCACCGACGCCCAGGATCCGAGTGGGGATTTATCCGTAACCACCGCCTGGGGGATCCATCTTCGGGGATTTCGGCAGGAGGAGCATTTGGATACATTCGGCCCCCCTGGGGCCAAATTCTTTCTCTCTCTCTCTCTCTCTCTATCTCTCTCTCTCTCTCTCTCTTTTCTTTCTCTTTTTCTCTCTCTGTCTCTCTCTCTCTCTTTTTCTCTCTCTCTCTCTCTCTATGTATTTACATATATATATATATACATATATATTCATATACATATACATATATCCATCTCCACCGCCCGCTAGGGTTCAGGACGTCGGTTCCCTAGGCGGCGGATACGCATACACCTCCGCCTCGCAGAGGACAAGAAGCTGGCGAACGAGAGCGGCCTTCAGCATCCGAACTCCTGCCTGCAGCCCTCCGTCCTCGTGGGGGGGTTCCAGGCCGCCTCTCAGTATCGTTCGCCTTGTCCCCATCCCCGACGGGCCATGGCGCGTCGGCCCCACCATCCCACCACCCCAATTGTGGACGGGCCCCGCGGAGCCCGAAGGAAACAGGAAATGTCCCCATCTGGGGGTGTACGGCAGGTTCGCGTCGTGTCGACTGGCGGCGACCCCAGCGCGTGCGTGTAAGGTTGAACGCCGCCTGTGGCCCAGAATCGGCCCGTCGTTGAACGATCCTGCGTCAATGGAACGGCCGATCGTTCAAGTTTGAACGATCCCCGCGTTGTCAGGAACCAACGCTGGGTTCGACACGACGCGAACCTGCGTAAATCGGCCAGTGGGTCCAAGGCCACGCCCGTGGGGCCAAGGATCGGTCAGTCAGGAGGGGACAAAACACATACACAATTGACCGTGACTCCCAGGAACATATGGGAAAATATGGGAAGTGGGGGGAAGACGCAAACCCAGAAGATATGAAGAAATATGGGAAATCTTGGGATCTGTGTGTATTTGTTCGCGTGTCCTTGGGCCCCTTCAGTCAGACGATGCCTAGGCCCTCCTCAGCGGCATCGAGGCGCCCGGGGTGCGCCGCGCGCCCCCGGATCGGGGGACGCCGAGCGCGCGCCTACGCCGGTCCTGGCCCAGGTCGACCGTGGGGGCTCCACGGGGAGGCGGGGGGCAGGCCAGAGGAGCACAGGGTCAAGTCGGGCATGGCCCTCTACAGGATCTAGGCCTCTCAGATGGGGTCGGAGTAGATGGGGTCGGAGGACCGCGCCGCATCGCCGATGCATCGCCGAGGCGGCTCGATGTGCAGACCGATTTGCGTTACGTCGACGTGGCCGATGCATCGCCGACGTCGGCGATGCCTCGCCGGTGCATCGCCGATGCATCGCCGATGCATCGCCGATGTATCGGCGATGCGGCGCGATCCTCTGACCCCACCTACTCGGACCCCATCTAGGAGGCCTCTACAGGAGGAATGTTCAAAAAATGATCCAAAAATAGTAAGGGGACGCTTTTTTGAGGGTTTCTTTGTGCTATGTTGGAATATGTTTGGGGGTATTGTGAATTTTTCGTCCAAGATTCCCCTGTAGGGGGACATGCCCGACCTAATCACAGGGGAACGAGCAATAACACAAACAGAAAGACTCGGAGGTCCGCGCGGGTTTCTCGGATCGGCGCCTGACACCCTCCCTGACGCGCGGAGCGCGCCAGGGGCGGTGCTGGAGGCGCCGCCAGCGGGGTCCAGCGCGGATCCAAGAAATTCGCGCGGACCTCTGAGTTTTTATGTTTATGTCATTGTTCGTTCCCCTAGATCAGGGGCAATGTTAGGGGGGTGATACGCTCGGGGGAAGATGCATCGACCCCGAATCGCACACACACCGCCGACGTTGGGCCCGCTAGCCCGCCCCGCCCAGGAGCGCTCGGATCCGCCATCGGGGGCCACTCGCTGATCCATCGGCGATGCCTCGCCGCTTCGAGCTCGGTGCTTCCTCCCCTGGGCCGGTCCCCCCTTGAGCTTTCCCTCTCCAAGCCGACCGTGGTGCCTGGCATCGGTGCACGTGCGCCTGCCCAGCCAAGCCAGGAGCGCGTGTACACCGATTCGACGATCAACACGATAGACTTAGGTCGGGCATGCCCCCCTACACCAGACGTTGGACGAAAAATGAAAAATAGTCAAACATGCCCAACAATTGTCCAAAACTATTCAAAACATCGTCACCAGACTATTCTTTTACCATTTTTGAGTATTCCTCCTGTAGAGGGACACGCCCGATTCTATAGGCTTACGCCACATCCGCCGACCCCTCATCTTGGCGGTCTTGCCGGCTCGCTTGAATCGGGCCGGGGAGTCGTGTAGGGGTCCATAATGACCTCTCTTGGGGCCATGTGGAATCCGCTTGGGGTCATCTCGAGGCCCTGGCGGCCGAGGTGGAGGAGGAGGAGGAGGAGAAGGAGGAAGGGGACACAGAAACAAGGCTCTGGGTTATGGGTTTTGGGTTAGAGGCGTCTTGCACCAGCTTGGGACCAATTTGGAGACAGGTTTTGCCGTCTTGGGGTCGTCTTAGGCCGAATTGGGAGGCGTCCTAGGCCGTGTTGGGATTCTCTGGGGCCGTCTTGAGGCCCTCTTGGGGCGCCGTGGGTCGATCTTGGAGGCTCTTTGGGCTACGTGAGCCGACGGAAGCCGGGAAAGGCAACGATTGCAAACATGTTCAACAGCGCAATGGAAATGTAATGAAATGCGTAATGTGCGCCTCTTTCAGATGTCCTGGGGGTCTTCTTGGAGACTTCGTGGGCGATAGTGAAAGCCTTTTAGGCCATCTTGAGGCCATCTTGGGCCGTCTTCGAACTGTCTTGGGCCGTCTTGGAGCCATCTTGGGCCGTTTTGGAGCCATCCTGGGCCGTTTTGGAGCAATCTTGGCCTCGAGAGCGCGAATCCTTTTTTGTGCGCAAACGCAACCCCGCCACCGTGCCTGGGTTGTTGATATGAGACTTGTGCGGTGATCGTTGGGATCTCTTGGGGGGCTTCTCGCGGGACTCTTGGAGGCAGTTTCGAAGCCTCTTGGGGGCCGTTTTGAGGCCGTTTTGGAGCCTCTTGGGGGCCTCTTGGGGCCTCTTGTGGGCGTCTTGGGGGCCTCTTGGGGCCTCTTGGGGCCTTCTGGGGCCGTCTTGGGGCGGAAGGCTCGGATTGTCGGTTCGGGCTCCCCCTCTTGGGCACCTCTTGGGGCCGTCTTGGGGCCCTCTTGGGCTGTCTTGGGGGCCTCTTGGGCCGTCTTGGCGCCCTCTTGGGCCGACTTGGGCGCCTCTTGGGGGCCTCTCGGGGCGGTCTTGGGGTACTCTGGGACCGTCTTCAACGCCGTGAAGGCCGACAAGTAGTATATGATCAAAATGTACGTTTTCCCATAGGAATTTGACGATTTTCGGCGCTTCGGCCCTTCTGAGGGCTGCTCTTGGAGGCCTCTTGGGCCGTCTTGGAGGCCTCTAGGCTCGTCTTGGGGGCATCTTGGGCGTCTGGGCGCGCTCGTTTGGCGCCTCGGAGCTCTCGTGAGCCGTCTTGGAGGAGTCTTGGGGCCTTCGTGGCCCGTCTTGATCCCCTTTTGGGCCCAAAAGAGCCTCGTGATGCGCTCGTCGTGGGCCCGGGGGGGGGGGGGGGTCGAATCTCCGGTTTGGGGTCCCAGGGGGGGGTTAGGGGGGGGGAACTATCTCACACGCCTAGAGACCCACAAGGGGTCGGCGGACTTTGCCGATAGAGCATAAGCGTCCGGAGATCCGTGCGGATATCTCGGATCGGCGCGGGGCCCGCCCGGCGGCGCCTCCGGCGTCGCCCCCGGTGCGCTCCTCGCGCTGGGGAGTGGGGCCCAGCGCCCATCCGAGAAGTTCGCGCGGAGCTCCTAAAGCTAATGCTTATGCAGTTGTTCTTACCCTCTACGCGTCTCGTGCCCAGGACGGCCGTTTTCAGGATCGGTGTAAGTGAACAGTCGGCGTCCTCCTGCGTGACACGCACATTGAGGAGGGCGCCTACATCTTGTTCGGCACCCTTCTGCTCTCGAGTCTGCTTTACCACGTTATCTGGATCCGCAGGAGTCGACGCAGAGAGCGGCAGTCCCAGCGCAGCAACAAGCTGGACGAGCTCAGGCGCGGCCTCGTGCTGCACTTCGCGCCGCTGGTGGCGGTCGACAGCTATCAGTTCAAGGGCATGACGGAGACCAAGTGCGGGGTCACTCTGGACTTCCAGGACCTGGGGCTGACTCTCAAGAATGGTGGCCGGAGAGTGCTGGACGGCGTCACTGGGAGGTTCGAGCGAGGGAAGATGATTGCCATAATGGGCCCTTCTGGCTCTGGCAAAACGACATTCATGAACACCTTGTGCGGCAAAGCCACGTATGGCAACGTGACGGGCACCGTCACCATCAATGGTAGACAGGGGAAGATGAATGACCTCAAGCCCATCATGGGCTTCGTGCCCCAGGACGACGTAGTGCACGAGAGACTCACGGTCCGCGAGCAGCTCGAGATGTCGGCGAAGCTAAGGAACGACTACAGAACAACTCGGCAGGATCTGAAAGACATTGTCGAGGACGTGCTCCATGTACTGCAGGTCCAGCACATTCAAAGGAGCATAGTGGGCGGGGTGGATAAGCGTGGCATCAGTGGTGGCCAGCGCAAGCGGGTCAACATCGGACTCGAGTTGGCCGCCTGCCCCACCGTGCTCTTCTTGGACGAGCCGACCTCTGGCCTGGACTCTACGAGCTCGCTGATGGTGGTCAGCTCGCTGAAGAAGATGACGACCCTGGGGATGACCAACATCATGGTGATCCACCAGCCCCGGTACTCGCTCTTCGCGCTCTTCGACCAGGTCCTACTCCTAGGCACGGGGGGCCGCACTGTCTACTCTGGCAGGGCCGACAAGGCACTCCCATACTTTGAGGGCCTCGGGTTCGAGAGGCCGCCTGCAGACAACCCCGCGGACTGGATGATGGACGTCATCTCTGGGCAGGTGAAGAACCTTCGCTCTGCCGAGTCCAATCCGGTGGATCTGTTCGACAGGTGGGCAGAGGCGTCCGGCAGGCCCGAGAGCCCGTCGTCGCCTGAGGACGGACACGCGCTGAGGACCGCGCGGCTGGTTCAAGAGCACTCGCACCTGGTCGGCACGGAGATCGTGCGGCAGGAGTGGAACCGAGTGGACACTGTAAACTCTGGGTACTTGGGGCTCAAGGGGTTCCATAAGTTGGTGAAGAATTGCTGCGACGTGGATCCGGACAGGAAGATCGTGGCGATGCTGGCGGACCAGATCAGCGCGGCGGGGCGGATCGAGAAGATGGGCTCGATGCTGGGCTCGGAGCGTTTTGGGGTGCACGTGAGGAGGGACGACTTCGCCAAGTTTCTGCGGCTGTCTCAGGAGGAGCTGGTCGCCGGGCACAGGCACATCCAATCGGACGGGTCTCCTCAGGGCGACAGCGGGGACTCGTCCGACGACCTGCTGACGGAGGACGGCCTGGAGAGGCGTGTCTTTCCGGGCCCCTGCAGGCAGTGGGCCATCATGGCCCACGCGAGGATGGTGCAGTTTTGGCGGGGCTGGATGAGGCGGCTGCTGGACATGATCATGGTCATATTTTGCGCCACTGCCTTCGCACTGGTGGGCAGAGGCGAAATCGGCAGCCCCATAGAGATTAGCATGTACCAGACAGGCTTGGCACTGCTCATTCCTATATCTGTTTTGCCGACATTTGCGGATCGCCCAATCTTTTGGAGGATGAGCAGTGCTGGCACCAATATCATGGCGTACTACATGTCCCGGTTCGCCGTGAGCATCATCGATGCGCTCATGCTTTCTCTCGCTTACACGATGACGTATTATCTGGTTGCGAGGCCAGGTTGCCCTGTATCGATTTATCTTGATCCTGCGCTATACCTTGCGTGGTCAGTGGCAGCTACGGGTTATTTGTTGTCAATTGCCGTGCCGCCTGAGAGTGCGACACTAACAACTTTGGTGCTCATGCTAGCTTTCACTCAAGTGCTTGGAAAATTTGACACTACGCTCAATTGGCTCAACGCTAATGTGCAATGGAAGGTGGTGTTGCTGTCGTTTGTTCCCACAAGGTGGTCTACCGAAATGCAGTTCGTGAGATATGTAGAGCATAACGACGGCGTGGCTATGCCAAACCCGCCAGATTGCTCCGATATGCAGGATAGCAGCGTGGCTGCCTTCACAGACTGCCTGCCGCTCGTGGCCGACTGCATCACGAATCAGTCGGTGGCCGTAGGCGCTACTGTTCTGGCGTTGCAGTGCGAGAAGCTTTTCGAGAGATGTGCCGCTGGTCATTATTCTTCCAAGAAGTGGGGACGCCAAACGCCAAACATTTATCTCTAAGCCTCCTAGATGGGGTCGGAGTAGATGGGGTCGGAGGATCGCGCCGCATCGCCGAAACATCGCCGATGCGGCTCGATGTAGGGCCCGATTTGCTTCACGTCGACGTCGCCAATGCATCGCCGACGTCGAAGATGCATCGCTGGTGCATCGTCGATGTATCGCCGATGCATCGCAGATTCAAGGCCGATGTATCGCCGATGTGGCACGATGCTCCGACCCCATCTACTCCGACCCCATCTAGGAGGCCTCTAGTATCTGCACAGACCCTGGCCAGACCCGTCCTGGCCCCAGGATCGGTGTGTGCGCTTTGGGTGCCAGGTCGGGCGGTCGCATCCACCGATCTTTGGCCCAGGACTAGTCCAGCCATGATCCGTGTACGGTAGGTTCGTGTCGTGTCGACCGGCGGCGACCCCGCCAGCGGCGTTCACCGTTGAACGCGGCGGGCGACCCAGAATCGTTCGATGTGGAACGATTTGGACGTTTCGGAAACGGTCGATCGTTCAAGGTTGAACGATCCCCGCTGTGTCAGAAACCAGCGCCGGGGTCGTCACGACACGATTCCGCCGTAGGTGGGTTGTTGGCCTTTCCCGAAAAGGGTCAGTCAAGTATTTCAACGCATTATGGGCTACTTCACTGCGAAGGGGATGGCGAACTACCAGGCGCGGAGAGAGGGACGCCGTCTGGACCTAGCCCCTTGTCCTCCCCGCCCTGTTGTCCTCGAACTCGTCATGCTCGTTCTCCTTCTTCTGCTCATCGTCATCCCCCTCCTCGTCGTCGTTCTCTTCGTCCTGGTCGAAAGGGCGTCCCTCTCTCCAGGCGTGGGCCTACCATGTGTACACACACCAGGAGGGTACGTGTAGCTGGTTCTCTGACTGAACAAGGTGTATGAGGAGGGATGGGGGAGTGCGAAGGATGATAGGGGATGAGGAGGGAGGAGGGAGGAGGAGGAGGAGGAGGAGGAGGAGGAGGAGGAGGAGGAGGTGGAGGGAGGAGGAGGAGGAGGAGTGGGCAGGAGGAGGAGGACGACACAGGTAAGCCCAGGATGTTTCAACGATGTTGCAATGCACCATTCCGTCACAAGTCTCCTTTATACACCCTTGCAACCAATGGCTGCATGATGTCTCTTCGCTAAAGTCAACCCGCATAGTAAGGATGAGCATATTTCCAAGTTTACACTGGCATCCTTCCCCTTCGGCCCATCCTTGGCCACTTTCGGTGGCCGTGCCCCACCCGCAATGTGCTGACATGGCCTTCAAGGCCCTTGCATCATTATCGTGCGCCCCTATTATGCGAGTTGACTGTCCTGTATGACGCTCCGTGAAAGATGAGCGCCCCGTGGGCCTGGCATTCAGGCGAGAGCCCCGCTTTCAGAACGAATTGCTTCCTTGTCCTTGCCTGAATTCAAATGCGAAGAGTTAGGGCGGCCGTGCAACTGAGGCAGTTTCTTCCGGCTGTCATGGCCTGAAACAGAAAACGCCTCGTATCGACGGGGTCTCAAACGAGATGCCCACGTCGAAAAGGATTTGCCATCGATGCGTGTCAATTTCGCGCACTTTAGAATTTCTGCCTTGAGCTTAGGCGAAGTCTCAAATCAAAGTCCAGTATGAAACGGAGCCACTACGATCCGTGCATGTGTTTGAAACTTTCTGAGGCGGTTGTACTTGGCGCTAATACATGCTACACATGGGCCTCTCTTAATCAATGTGATGGGTTGGAATCTCTTGTCACGAATCTGCGCAGTGCTTGAGCGAACGCCACATTTCAAAGGTTTCCCGTCCTGCGTCCGTGCATTCGTTGGGTTATTACAAGCTTCAGGGTCGTAAGCTGTGGGGAACTTTGAGGGACAGTTCATTAGAAGCGAGGAGGACCGTCACCTGGAGCCAAGCCAGCAGAGGTGTTCTCCAGCCAACATCGTGACGCACGATGAGTGCGCACCTCGTGGAAGGGAGAGACGAGAACAGACAACTACAGTAGTGGTAACTCTCTTTCCGCCGTTGCAGCGACGCCGGTACTGAAGTTCTGTCACGATGACTGTAGGTTGCGTAAAGTAGGAATGCAGGATGTGAAGAACCAGCACGTCGTTGGGATCGGACGGGGCGCCGCAACCGCGCGTTGCAGCCGCAACGGGCGCCCGACGGTCCGACACACCATGATGGGTCTGCACCCTGCCGCGCTTATGTGACGGCCACTGGTGACCGGAAAGCGACTCTGCCCTTCCAGTCAGTACGGGCCCGAGGGCAGACGAGGCTAGGCGAATACAGAGATGATGGTGATGATGGCGATGGTGATGGTGATGGCGATGGTGGTGGTGTTGATGGATGATGACGATGGTGGTGCTGATGGTGATGATGATGGTTATGACGATGGTGGTGATGAAGATGGTGGCGACGGAGATCTCTTGAATGATGGTGATGATGACGGTGGTGACGATGATGGTGATGCTGATGATGATGATTATGATGATGATGACTGTGATTAGGATGCCGAGCATTATGATAGTGATGATGATGCCGGTGACGACTATTATGATGCTGATGCCGAGGATATTGCTGATGATGATGACCGATGAGGATGCAGGTGATGACGGTGCTGCTGATGATGTTGATGATGATGATGCTCATGCTGATGCTGATGATGATGATTATGATGATGATGATGATGATAATGCTATTGCTGTCGATGACGACGATGGTGGTGATGCTGCTGCTCATGATGATGCTGATGATGCTGATGCCGATTATGATGCCACTGATGATGACGATGCTGATGATGCTGCTGATGATGATGCTGAGGATGATGATGATGATGATGATGATGATGATGATGATGACAATGCTGCTGATGATGCTGCTGCTGATGATGCTGATGCTGATGCTGATGCTGATGCTGGTGCTGATGATGCTGATGATGATGCTGATGCTGATGATGCTTATGATGATGCTGATGCTGCCGCTGTTGATTGATGATGCTGACGATGATTATGATGATTATGATGCTGCTGCTGATGATGATGATGAGGATGAGGATGAGGATGAGGATGATGATGATGCTGATGATGATGATGATGATGATGATGATGCTGATGATGATGATGGTGATGATGATGATGCTGATGATGATGATGATGATGATGATGATGATGATGATGATCATGATGATGATGATGATGATGATGATGATGATGATGATGATGATGATGATGATGATGGTGGGGATGATGCTGGTGAATGATGACCATGCTGGTGATGAGGTGGACGAGGAGGAGGGGTAGGAGGAGGAACAGGAAGAGGAAGAGGCGGAGGAGGAGGACGAGGAGGTAGAGGAGGAGGAGGAGGAGGAGGAGGAGGAGGAGGAGGAGGAGGAGGAGGAGGAGGAGAAGCACGAGGAGGGGACATATGCTTGTGCGCCAGGCTCTTTCACCGCTACGGCTGCTCTTCGCGGTGGTGTCACACGTACTCGCCGGTGGCGGGCGAGATGAATCCATCCCCCGAACCCCGTAGAGGCAGAGTAGTGTTGATGACGATGAGGGTGATGATGGCGATGATAATGAGGAGGAGGGGAACGAGGAGGAGAAGGAGGAGGAGGATGAGCAGGAGGAGGAGGAGGAGCAGGAAAAGGAGGAGGAGGAGGAGGAGGAGGAGGAGAAAAAGGAGGGGGAGGAGTATGAAGAGGAGGAGAAGGAGGAGCACTGGGAGGAATGACTAGGTTTATGAGCCCGTTGTGCGGGAGTCACGGCCGCCCCCCCCAAGGAAATTCGCACGCATATTTGCAATCGGTGTGTGCTCGGGGTTTTGCTCGACGAGGGTTGGTACCGTTCGTTGCACATTTTCTGAGGGCCACATTGGCGTGCCTTCGGGGGGCAGGCGGCCATGGGGCACGATGTGCGTGATAGCTGTGCCAAATCGAAGCTCCCTTCGGCCGTCCGAGGGGTCACAGCTGAACGCCCCTGGGAGTCCATGAGGCAAGAAGTGCGTGAGAGGAGTGCCGAATTGAGGCTCCCTTCAGCCGTCTCGAGGGCCAGTGGATCGCGCCTGGAGGTCCATGGGGCACGAAATGAGGAAGGGGTGTACGAAGCAAGACCCTCAAGAGCCTCCGTTCGGGCCAGGTGAGATGATGCACGGAGTGCGTGAGGGGTGTACCGACTTGAGGCTCTCAGGAGAATGGAGCTGCGAATCCCTTGTGTTTTACGTGTCTCAGAGGCCTGAGGGCTCAGGAAGCAACCGTGCGAGGGGGTGCGCCGAATTGAGGCCCTGGTGGTGCCCCGGGGGAAAGCAGAAAACTTGCTTGAATACATCTAAACATCATCGGCCGGCGGACCGTGCGAGGCTGTTCCCAGCATGCGTTTATGCATGCCTTTCACTCTCCCCCATCATCCTTCATCTCACCATCTCTTCTCGCCCGCTAACACGGCGTGGGCCCGCCGAATTCACTCGCTTCGCTCATCCCACCATACTGTATTACTATTGCTATTTGGTTGTGGTGGGAAGTGCCCTGGGTGAGATGGTGAGGCCAAGTTTGGCCAGACTAATGCCAAGCGACGAACAATCAGTCGAGGGTGCTTCCCAAACATGTGAGTTCGCGGCCCTGCAGGAGGGCTGGCCACAGGTTTCAATCGGAGCCCGAAAGTACGAGACTCTTGGTGCTCTGAAGCCCTCATGCATTGGGTTCTCGTTTTGAATATAGCCTATATCTCTGCGTCATCTCCTTTCGCCTTCCCGCCTCACTCCCTCTCCCTTCTCTGGCCCCCGGCCTCCTATCTGCCTATTATCCTGCTTTCTGCCCAGGGAGCCCTCTGGGGGCTGCGAACTTGAACATTGTCCCCACTTTCGTGGGCTCCTGGTGGGCCCAGCGGGGTAATGCCATTCCTAGATCCGAACGGGACCTCGCCGGTGACCTCGCCCTCCCAGGGGGCTGGACATTGCGAGACTGTCGCCACTTTCGCGGGCTCCCGGGAGGCCCAGCTGAGTGCGCGACCTCACTCTCCCCTGGGCCTCACGTTGAGAACCACTTGTGTTCCATCCTTGTAGCGGTTACAAGCTTTTCTGACGAATGAGCTCGGCGTTGATGCGAGAGGCGCCAGTTTGAGAACGGCCCTTCTTCGTCAATTTCAAGTTTAAGGGTCACACGTTGCAAGGAATTCTCAGGCGAAACGCCCAGCCCGCCCTAGCGACAGGGAGAAGTCATCCATGACGAAGAGCGATGGAGGAGGAGGAGGAGGAGGAGGAGGAGGAGGAGGAGGACAAGGAGGAGGAGGAAGATGAGGAGGAGGAAGAGAAAGAGGAGGAGGAGGACAACATGAGGAGGAGGAGGAGGCAGAAGATGAGGCAGAGGCTGAGGAGGATAAGGACCAGTGCCCACCCAAGACGCGTCAACGATGTTGCTACAAACCCTCCCTCCAAGTTCCTTCTCAATAGGGCCCTACAAGAATATAGTTTCATTACGGGAGATGCCCGATGAGAAGACAACCGTCGAAGAATTCTCAACCGTGCCGTAATCCTATTTTGGGGAATTCAGCGCCGCGAATCAACGTGACTGTTGCGTCCTGACATTCATCAGCCGTGCCGGGCCACTAGTCCAGGGACTTCAGCACCGGGAATCAGCGTAACCGTTGCGTCGAGACAATCCCTTATTTTGCTAGGACACCATTCGTAGGACTTTGATTATGCGAAACATTGAGACTTTCACTAAAATTCGATATCGGCTGTGTACGGAAGAAGGCGAGTGTAACAATTTGGAAAACCGCCCGCCATCCATCCGTGAGATTGATTAAACAAATGACGAATCTGCAGGGCGCTAAGGCGAGAGCTTCATTTTTAGGCCCGCCCTCCATGCGTAAAAGTGGTGCAAACCTTTAAGCCGAATGTGCGCGGCGCTAAATCGAGAACCAAATGTTGACCAGGAACCGCCCTCCATCCGTGAAGCTGTTACGCATCTTAAGCTTCAATATCATAAACGGCGAGGAACTCTCAGGTGGAACGCCATGGAGGAGGAGGAGGAGGAGGAGGAGGATGAGGAATGGGAGGTGGATGAAGAGGATGAGGAGGAGGAGAAAGACAAGCAGGAGGCAGAGCAGCAGGTGGCGGAAGCGAAGGATGATATTAATGACAAAGAGGAGGAGAAGGAGGGGGATGAGGCAGAGGAGGAGGAGGAAGAAGAGGAGGAGGACGAAGAGGAGGAGTAGGAGGAGGAAGTATAGGATACTTAGATGGGGGACAGAAAGGAGGAGGAGGATGAGGAGGCGGAGCAGAAGGAGGAGGAGGAGGAAGAGGAGGAGGAGGAGGAGAAGGAGCAGGAGGATGACGAAGCAGAGGAGGAGGAGGAGGAGGAGCAGTAGGAGGAGTAGGAGGAGGAGGAGGAGTTGCAGGAGGATGAGAAGGAGGAGGAGGTGGAGGAGGACGAAGAGGAGGAGGAGGAGAGGAGGAAGTATAAGAACATAGGATGAGGGGGGGGGACAGAAAGGAGGAGGAGGCAGAGCAGGAGGAGGAGGAAGAGGAGGAGGAGGAGGAGGATGAGGAAGAGGAGGAGGAGGACGAAGAGGAGGAGAAGGAGCAGTAGGATGACGAAGCAGAGGAGGAGGAGGAGGAGCAGTAGGAGGAGGAGGAGGAGGAGGTGCAGGAGGATGAGGAGAAGGAGGAGGATGAGGAGGAGGAGGTGGAGGAGGAGGAGGAGGGTAATAGCCCTGTCCGCCCAGGCGGCGAATCTGCTGCTGCAGGGCTTGCTCGGCCACATTCTGGCCATCTTGTGCCTGGCGCGGCAGGTGCCCGGCTCTGCGTCGCTTCGCGACTGTTGCTGCTGTTGTTGCCGGCGGCGCCACGACGCCAGGCCGGAGACGACCAGTCGGCACGATCGAAATGGGCGTGGAGAGAGCACGACGACCGACAACATTCCCTGTTCATGTTGAACAGGACTTGCTGTCGGCGTCGCCGCTGACGTTGCCCATTCGAAGCAGAACGCCCGCTGCCCAACAGCGGCCGTTGTCGGTGTTGGACAACATTTGCTGTTGGGCATCGTTCCCAGTCTGTGCCCATCTCGGGCGTCCCAAACACAACCAGTAAGGGAATGAACCGTGGACTGTGGGGCTGTGGACTGTGGCGCAAAGGATTGCTTCAGAAGGCCCCAAAGAGGCCCAGGAGGCCTGTTAGATTGTCCAAGCGCGAGTGTCTCCGTGTTGGGCCTGGGCCCAGTCCGATTTCCATTCAATCCTGGCCCGCGCCAGGGACGGTTTGGGCTTCGATTTGGGGCCCGAGTCGCGCCCTCAGCAATCCAGAATGTGTCCGGGGAGCGCATCACAGATGGGGTTGATGTGACCATGATCAGCATGCCGAGGGGTTCCCGAACAGTTATGAAAAGAGGCCCCAAGGCGACCCCTGCGTTGCGCAGTCATTCAAACCTTGAGGTTTTGTATTTGTTTTGAAGATTCCATTTCGTCCGCGAAGTTGGGCAGTCTACGGGGCCCAAAATCGCACGACGAGGCCCCAAGAGGGGCCAAAGTAGAGCGGGAATCGGTTTCGAAAAAGCGCTGGGAATGATGTGGCGATGCCGGCTTAGAGCCGTCGTGGGCTCCAAGCAGGCATGGTGCGCAGCCAGGCGGCGGAGTGGCGGAGCCTCTTGGACGGGGTAGAAGGGGGATACAGGTGAAGTGAACATGCGGACGATCTGTCGTCATAGTGGGATGTTTGGCCTTCCCCTTTTTTGAATCTCGGCCGCCCGAACCTCCCCTGCCAGGGGAGCGTTCTGGGAGGATTTTTGAGGGGAGTGGTCAGCAGGGGCACAACACACATAACAACTAATCGTCGATTTCCGAGAAAGTCTGTAACACGTGGGAAGGGCAAGGGAAGACGACCATCCATGACATGGAACATACGGGGAATCCTGGGATCTGTGTCTATTGTGTACGCTTCGTGAATCCCCGCCAGCCCATTCAGAAACCCTGCCCACGAGAGCTGACGGGAAATGGAAAGCAGAGACGCATGTAGTAAAACAGAGCGGTGTTGAGCCATGTTGGAGCCTGCCCTGGAACATCGGAGGCCTCCTTGGAGCTATCGCTCCAGCACAGAGGCATTGCCCTTGAAGGAAAGGCAACTGCCAGTGCGGTGGGCTCCCCGGTCACAGCGCGACAGATCCTGACCGGGATACGATGCATGGCTGCAGCGCCTGCTCGAATCGGCGGACCCCCTTGCCTCCCGAGTCCGCGCCCTCTTTGGGGCTCCTCTGGGGCACGTGGCGACGAGGGGCCTGCCAGGGGCCCCGCAGGGGCCCCGCTGCCAGGCTCGAGGCCCCGCGCCCCGCGCCCCGAGGGCCCCGCCCCGCGGGCCCGGGTCCTCCTGGCCGCACGGCGTCTCGCTCTCGCGCTCGCCCGCTCGACGACCCATGACGACGACGACGACGACGACGACGAGGACGACCCCGCCGCCGACGCCGACGACGACCACGACTTCGGCGGGCCTCGCCTCGGCCTCCCACCCCCCTCTGCCCCGTCCTCGTCGGGGGAGGGGCCGCTCGTGACGGAGGGGGTCCCCGGCTCCGGGCCAGGGCGCTCGTGCCCGCGGACGAGCCGGACGAGCTCGAAGACACCGAGGAGGCCACCTCCTGCATCTTCCCTTCCGCTCTCTCCGTCCCCCCCTCTCCCACCCTCACTCCCTCGCTCCTTCTCCCCCCCATTTGACCGAGCTCCTCCCCTCCTTCCGGGCCCTCCTCCTCGCTGCTTCCTCCGCCCACTCCTGCCCTCTTGTCCACCCCATCAGCGACTCAGCTGAGCAACGACGTGACCATGAAGATCACCATGTAATCGACATAGTTTGTTGCCAAGATGAGTGCTGCCTGGGTGAGCCTGATTGACGGAGCGGAGATCCTCCCACGCTCCGCTGCAGCCTGATTCAGTCTTGGCACGGTCTGCTCAAGGTCACAGCTCCACGGCAGGAACCAGCAGGCAGTCGCAACACAATCGTTCAAAGCAGAATTCGTGTAATCCCCACCAGACACCGGAGCACGATAGATGCCACGTTTGCCTCCTTCGCCCCCCTCGCTCTCGTCCCTCCTCCTCCTCCTCCTCCTCCTCCTCCTCCTCCTCCTCCTCGCTTCGCCTTTTGTCACCACTCTTTTCTCCTCCTCACTCTTCGAGTAGGAGATCGTCTACAGAAGTGATTTGCCCCAGATTTGTTTTTTTCTGCCGTAGAATCTACCAGCAAGCACGTGCAACATTCCATAGACCTACGAATCTTCTATATGGACGTTTTGTAGACATCGACGAGAATCACTTCGGGCGTGAATCAGTTCTGTAGTCGATCTCCTCCCCGAGCCCTGGCGCCCTCCTGCCCACCAGCGCCGGGGGGAGGGGGCCTCGTGGGGCCCCGGGGCCGCCAGGACGGCGAGGGCGAGGACGGCGGCGCCCCCAGCCCCGCACCCTCCTCGCGGCGGGGCGAGCCCCGGTCGCCCAGCGCCGCGGGCAGCACGGCGCGCGGCCGTCACAACGCTTATGTCGGGCGTGCCCCTCTACAGGGAGGATATTCAAACATAGTTTTAAAGCAGTCTGGGGACGATTTTTCGAGTGTTTGTGATTATTTTTGGATTTGTTTTGGCTATTTTGCATTTTTCGTTCGAAATCCGCCTGTAGGGGGACATGCCCGACCTAACACAACGCGCAGCCTGCCCCTCCCGCCCCTATCAGATCAGGAGCATCTTTGGGTGCAGCTGCTGGGAGGTCAAATTCTGACTTGGCCCTGGTCCGCAATTCGGCTTCATCGGGCTCAATCCCGCTTGATGCGGCTCTATCCCGCCTAATCCGGCTTAATCCGCTGAATCCGTTGCCTAATCTGGCGTATCAGCTCCTCAATGGGGGTTAATTCTCGACGAAGATTTCCCAGCAGTGGCTTCCCAAGGGGCAACAATGTCGGGGGGATGTAAGCACCTGGGGGGACGCATTGACCCCCCAAGCACCCACTCATCGCCGCTAGGGGTTCGATGGCCCCACCCCGCCTAGACGTGTGGGGATCTGCTTTCGCGGGCCTATCGCCGATCCATCGGGGATGTATCGCCGATTCCAGGTCGATGTGTCCCCCTTCTATGCCAGTCGCCACTATCGTTGTCCTTCATCAGGATGGAGGGTCGGAGGAGGTAAAGGCGCCTCAGGATGCAACTCCTGGGAGGTTGAATTCAGCATCGGCGCTGGTGTACCTGCGGTCGAGAGCCAGCCAGATGCGGCATGATCCCGCTTCATTCCGGTTTAAATCTTGTTACATCCCATTGAATCCGGCTGAATCCAAGGCTAAATTTGGGCTACTCTGGCGTACTGGCCCCCTGATCGGGATTACTAGCTCTCAGTCGGTCTTGCGAAAGCCTCCCAGCAGTTGCCTTGCCGATGCGGCTGCCCTTCCCTCGTCGCAACGGCTGGATTTGCAGTTTGGTCAGATCGCGCCCCACCAGAGCGCCGTCGAGATTCGGTATCGGCATCTCTTACTCCCTGAAGCGGGATGGAGGGAGGAGGGAGGAATGAGGGAGGTAGGGAAGAAACGGACGAGGGCGATGAGGAGCGTAGGCAAGGGCATGAGGAGGCGACGCATGGCGCGGAGGAGGGGCGGTGCCCCCTCCCTCCTCGCCCTTCCCCCCTCTTCCCTCCCTCCCTCCCTCGCTCTCTCTCTCTCTCTCTTTCTCTATGCATGCCTGTGTATGCTTATGCATGTTTGTATGTCTGTCTGCTGTCTGCATGTATGTGTGTATATTGTATATGTGAATATATCTACATATATATATATATATATACGTATATACACACAACGGGGGACCCGGCCCGGGGGTCCGGGGGCCACGACCTCTACCACAAATGGGGGTGTGCAGGCCTTTGGGGGGCCCCAGAGGCCCACAAAACGGCACAACGCGCCAAGAGAGCCCGAAGACGCGCCAAGAGGGACCCGCGACGCCCACAGGCCGCTCCAAGACCCACATGCCGCTTTGAGACGCACAAGATGGCCCCCATGACGCCTCAAGAGGCCTCCCAGACGCGTCCTGCCACGCTCCCAGAGGCCCCCCAGGAGGGCCCCAAGAGGCAATATTCGCTCCATTCCTTTAGGGAAACGTATGCTTTTCGCATTTCTACCTCTTTGGTTGTTCACAGCGTCCAAGACGGCCCAAGAGGCCCCCAAGACTGCCCCACAGGCTCCCAAAAGGGCTCCAAGACGACCCCAAGAGGGTCCCAAGACGGCCCGAGAGGCCCCCAAGACAGCCCAAGAGAGCCCCAAGACGAGCCCCAGAGGGGTCCTGGAGCTGCACAACCATACTCAAATTCAGAGCTTTCGGGCCCAGAGGCTCCCAGGAGGCCCCAAAAGGTCTCCAGGAGGCCCCAAGAGGCCCCCAAGAGGCCCCAAGACTCCCCAAGAGATCCCCAGGATGCTCCCAAAAGGCCTCCGGGAGGCCCCAGGAGGGCCCCAAGAGGCAAAACTGGTTTCATTCCCTCAGGGAAACGTATATTTTTCGCATGTCTATATACACACACAGACACACAGACACACAGACACACAGACACACAGACACACAGACACACAGACACACAGACACACACACACAGACACACACACACAGACACACACACACACACACACGCACGCACGCACGCACGCACGCACGCACGCACGCACGCACGCACGCACGCACGCACGCACGCACGCACAACACGCACAACACGCACAACACACACAACACGCACAACACGCACAACACACACAACACACACAACACACAACACACACACAACACACACAACACACACAACACACAACACACACACAACACACAACACACACAACACACACAACACACACAACACACAACACACACAACACACACAACGCACACACACACACACACACACACACACACACACACACACACACAACACACACACAACACACACAACACACACAACACACACAACACACACAACACACAACACACAACACACAGCACACACAACACACAACAC